TCCCTGCAGCCTGTGATGTGATTGTTCACTGACTGGTGTTGGTTTGCATTTTTTGTAAATGACTAATGAAAAATAGTTTAGAAATGACGCATTATACAGATAATTTCTGTTTAAAGCTTTTTGTTTTTCCAAGATTTCTTAAACTATGTGACGTTCATTTTACAGGGAAGAACAAACTAATGCAGTCATTATCTTGTGTATTAGTGACCTGGAATTCAAATTTCTCCTCAAACATTTATTTTTTATGTTTGACATTAATGTGAACCTGCTCTAATCACTGCATCGCTGCTCTGATAACTGACATTAAATCGTGTGACTATTCCATTAGATCCCATTGAATGCATGTTTTGTTTTAGGCACCATTGTTTTAATGCTTCGACGCTCGTCACATTTCCTAAAACTGGAGAGGAACTTGTCACTTTATTCACCATGTTGATGGTCTCATTATTGTGAGATATTATCTGAAAAATGCACCTGCGTCACCTAAGAAGCTTTTTGTCTTATTGTCCATTTCTCATTTTGTTTCACCAAACCCAACACAAATTTACTTTAAAATGTTGCAGTGAGGGTGGCAATTTAGTATTTCTTTAAAATTGTGCTAATTAAAGGAAGTTTTGTGGCAAAAATCCTCCTGCCTTTTGTACCGTTTGTTTACATTTTTTACCTGGTTCTTCACAGAGGTCACCATGCCCTTCCTGCGGTAGTCGATTGATTTGGGAAGTCTGGACACGGTGTCGTTCAGGACCATGGTGAAACCACGCTCACGGTTCATCGGCACCAGGAGGCCGGTCATCTTCTCAGCCACTTCCTCTGACGTCTGCACGGACAGGTTCAGTTCAAATGAAGGTTTACAATTTGATGCAGATCAAACAGTTCATAAACATTATTAATTATTTAACTAATTAAACCATTTTAAGATGCAAAGAAAAAAAACGGTAAAAGTTAATGATTGATTTTACTCTTATCCAGTTATTCTCATTTGAAAAACTGAAAGGTGCAGATTTCTTGGAGGGGTGAGAAGTCAAATGTCTTCAATAATAAAAAAAAGAAGCTTCATTTGTGTTAATAGCATCAAATATGCAGCACAAAACAAGGATAAGAAAGTAAAATATATAATGTGTTTTTAAAATATGTTGTTTACATCAAACAAAACCAGCAAGTTCTGTTTAAAGAAATGTCCTAAAGGTTGGTAGAAAACTAGTTGTTGCATGTTTAGTCTGGAATGATAATGATCACTTATCTGTGAGCAAAGTGTGAGAGAGGTTAAAGTCTATTTGAAATCATTTCTACCTGGTTTATTTGCTGCAAACAGAGCTCAGAGGTTCCACGTCCAGGCTAATATTTATACTGTTCATTCTGAAGGCTTTGGTGATAGCTGAGGTGGAGTTCACTCAGAGCTTTGAATCAAGCTGTCGTGTTAAAGGAGATGATGGATTCTAGAAAGCTTCTGGAACTGGTGAGGCATGCAGGTTCAGGACCAGTTGTGATGGATTTAACCGGTTAGTTGACACGTGTCATTCAGACAACAAACTGTTTTTGTTTTATTTTTAAAGGGATCCCCGATTAGTTGTAACATTAGACTTTATTTAATAAAAATATATTTTAACTGTAAAATAAAGAATAAAAATACTGTAGGATGTTCAGTTTTTATAATTTTTAAACTAAAAGTTTAAAAATACTGTATATTACACGGACTGAGCCATTTTATTTACAC